TTTGCTCTGTCTTTTGCAGCTCATAGCTTCGGATAAATTTCGGATCGTCCTTCGATGCCAAATATCAAGTCGAGGGAATCATTATTGCGCTGAGTGTCATTTTTTCGAAAGATAGAGGAGACAGTGGCATTAAAGACAATGCCAGCCCTGTGAAGGGTAAGAATGAGTTGCATGACCGCCTAAAGAGGACATGGGAACAGGAAGTACCCACAATGCATGTGCATTTACAGCATGAGGGTTAAATTTGGGTTAGGGTTTGAGGTTGGGATTAAGTCAAGATTATGTCAAGGGTCAGCCGTGGGGTCCAGAACCAGGACAGTCTCCACCAGATGGTTCGCAAGTGAACCCCTGGGTACGTTGGTTTCCGGCCTCAGCAGCCATTCCGGCATATGTTCAGCTGACCACATCTCAAATTATCATTATCTGTTTTTATGTGCCCATCGGCTTTGCCCCCCCCCTAGGTCGTTTGCTTATGAAATAGTTCCCTCTATGCAATAAGAAAACGGCGTGAGGGGGATCATCCGTTATGGGCAAATTAAAACAGGGAAGGTTGATGTTACAGACGGATAGACATAGTGTAAGTGGAGAGCGGGGAGGAATTTTTAAATATCAGTCAGTTTGGGTTACAGTGAGGCTCGTCAAGCCTCATGACCGCTGCGCAGCATGGAACACTAGTCTGTCACGTGGGCGGGGAGAGAGAGGAGGTCAGGTTCGTAATCGAACTTGCGCAACGATTTGGAAACGCAACGATTTGGCGTTCCCATACGGTGTACTGAGAAATTTCCTGAGCAAGAGAATCAGTCACGTGGGAAGAGCCGGGCGCAGCAAGAACTCTAATGACAGCGGGCATAATTGTCACGCAATTAACAGGCCCGCATCCGACGCTGACAAGGCAATTGTGGCAATTAGTGAGTCTAATGCGAAGTGTAAAGCCAGTACCGCATCGATTAAGACCCAAGCGGTGGCTACAGAAGTGAGCAATTTTTACACACACGCGGATGACCACTATGAACTATAAATACCGTGCAGCCTGTGCATATCCACTCTCATCTGCGCATGACCATGCCTATGTTATCATCACCTATGATTAAGGATTCCTTACTGCGCATGCTATGCCTATGTTACCATCTCCTATGATTAAGGATTCCCGACGGACCTCTCCTAGCTGACATATTCATGGGCAAGCTGGAGAAATTTCAACTGAGTGAGCAGATCTACAAGTTAAAACACTATGGCCGCCACGTTGATGACATCTTCGCGATCGCCACAACCGAAACTGACGTAGACGCACTCTTAAGTGCGGTCAACCAAGCACACCCATCCATTAAGTTAACGCTGGAGATAGAAAAGGCAGGTTCGCATCCGTTCTTGGACGTCCTCCTAAGTCGCAGACCTGACGGTAGCGTCCGAAGGAGCGTGTATCGAAAGAATACCTGGTCTGGACAATACACGAATTTTAATAGTTTCGTACCCCTTCAGCATGGGCGAAATCTAGTTCGATGCTTAGTGCAAAGGGCTAGGAAAATTTGCTCAGCAGGCAGTATTGAGGAGGAGCTCAAGAAAATTGAGGACCTACTGCGGGAGAATGGGTATCTTGAGCGATTTATTACAAGGAATATGGCTGAGAACAAAAAAAGAACCACCGCACCTAATGTAGAAAAGAAACCACTATTCCTCAAAGTCCCCTTTCGAAGGGACGCAGCAAGTGAACTGCTGAAAAGGCGCCTTGACCAAGTCGTTGTAAGAACCTTCCCAGCAGTCAGAGTTCAGGTATTATTCTCAACCAACCCAATCTTACATGGGGAAGGTAAGGATAAGTTACTAGCTCAGGTCACCTAAATGTGCATCTACTCTTTCACTTGTTCCTGTGGAGCAGGTTATATT